TGGATGGATGGATGGATGGATGGATGGATGGATGGATGGATGGATGGATGGATGGATGGATGGATGGATGGGGAGCTACCTTCATGGTGGGAGTCTGAATGATGGAGTCCAGGAACTTGTGGTTTTCTGCCACCTCCTCAGGAGTTACAATTTCTGGCTCGCCAGTGTCGCTCACGTAGTTGTCCAGCAGGGAAATAAAGGCTGCGGAAAGAAAACACATAAACTCTTCAAACACCGATTTATGTACAGTCTCAGACAAAGAATGATAAAATAAATAATACAAATAATAATGAATCAACAGAGAAGGATCTCAAAACGAGTCACTCTCAGTGATTGGTCTCTGTGGATGGTCTGATAAACCTGTTTACGTCTCTAGATATCGAGTCTGTGAGCTGACATCAGTTCTTTGACTGAAGCCTTTTGTTGTCAGTGTACTTCTATATTTCTTATAGACTCTTTACTGTGAGGAGCAACTGTAACTGTGCAATATATTTTTTTACAGTGTCCATGTGTATGATGGGAAGCTTGTATCTTTCATCTGTTCTTTATATATTAATTATGAATGTGGACAGATGTGTGTTCAGGAATATGTGTTTGTATCTATCTTTATTTAGGTGCTGCACAACAAATTAGTTGTACAAATTTAAGCAATGACAATGAGGCTTTAGAATTCTAATTCACATACCTGACGGAATCTTTTGAAAGCCTGGATTTAAAAGCACAAATCCATGAAAAGATGCACCTGCTCTCTAACCAGGTCACATGAACATGAGCAAATACACAAATAGCACAGAGGGAGGAATCCTCCCTTTTTTCTCGCAGACGTCAGCCTCAGACTGAACTCTTAATACCGACTCTTACACAACTCAACTCCCCGAGGAGCTCTCTCTAACACCGTGCACAACATGAATCTGTGACGAGAATCATCACAGAGGACCGTGTGTCGCAGCCTCAGCACTTATTACTGCAGAGGAAGACTTGAATGAGAAGCCAGTGGTTCCAGAGGAGCATCTCTCTGTGAACTCTGTGTGCTCTGTGATTACGCAACGCGCCGCTGTTCGTCATAAGGAGATTATGAGTCTATGAAAAAGGCTTTGCTCTGAAGGGAGATGACGAGGAGGATAGTATCAAACTGGCAAAATGCGGCTGACGAATGAAAGAGGACAATTTTTTTTAAGTGAGTTGTGTAAGAGGCAGCAGCAGCAGACTGGTGCTACATCCACAAGAATCCAGTTGGTGGCTGCCTTGTTCCACAGAAGAGACACACTGAATATTAGGGCTCAAAGAAAGATGGCTCACTCTGCAAATTATTGGAATAAAAAGTAATTGACCCCCAATATATCCCTCTGCCTACTTACCCAGAAAGGTCTCCTTTTTAAAAATGTTCTCGTCAACAAATGTGAACAGAGGATATCCTGCTCCGTCGTTGTTGTCGCTGATGGCCATGCTGTCTCCAGCTTTGCCCTGAGGCAGAGAGAGAAGCACTGAAACTCCAACATCTGACAAATATTATAGGTTTAAAGAAATCCTCATCACCTCCATCAAGGTTGTTACGTCTTTGACCCGCAATTAATTTGTTGGTTGGTTCTGTTTGTTTGTCGGCATTATGCAAAAAAACTACAAAACTGATTTTCATGAAACTTGGTGGAGGAATGGAACAAGAAAGAACCCATGAAATCATAGTGTGGATCCAGGAAGTTCTTTTTTTCACTGATTCACTTTTCTCTGATTGACCAGGGAATAATTCATGGATCATGATTTTAAAAAGTCTGGCATATTCAGGGGACTGATTTCCATGAGTGTGTGTAAATTGCTGCAGCTCGAATTAATATAAGGGGACCTTTGGGCCTTGGTGGATGTATATGCTTTGTTTCTAGTTTAATGTGCAAGATATGATCTCCTTGTGACATTTTGCATCCAATTAGAGCTAAATTTGATTGATGTATTCCCACTAATCCAATTTAATTATGACTTCAGAACCAAACAGTGCGACCCTGAAACCCTCAAAATAGTCCAGCTGTCTTTTCAGAGCTTCTAGTTCACTGTTAAAATTAGTGTTGTAGCTATTTCTTAATGCTGCATGTGATAAGATGGTCTTTAAATTGTGGATGTGTTTTAAGGGCTAGGTAGGTTAAAGGTCAAAGTGTGTGTGTGTGTGTGTGGCACCTGCAGGGAGATCCTGTAGTCTTTTCCTGGTCGGAGTCTGTTGACATCGTTGTCCCACAGCTCCTGCACCATGGCCGACAGCTCTCTGTCGCTCTCAATCATGATATGACCGTTGTGTTGGGGCTGCTGCAGCGGATCAGCCGGGGACTGTTGTGTTTTCAGGTCACGTCTCTGACGGGAGAGAAACAGTTAAAGAAGCCTCTAGTTTTTGACATTGACATCGTCTGGAGGTTTCACAATGAGCTCATGTGGTGGACAGAAAAACATCTTTGGACTTTTCTTTTTTGAAGTAATTTTAGTGCCAGTTTTCCCTCATTATTTAAATACTTTTTGGATGGATGTTTTGTTTAAAATTATTATTAATTTTTAGTCATATTTTATGATAATTATTATAGAATGAAGCTGTAATCGTGGAATTTACGAGTTAATAATTTAAGTAAGTTAGAAAATAAGTAAATTGATTATTTTCAGTTAATATGATTTTTTATTCTTTTATTTATTTTTCATATGTATCTGATGTTGTAGTTTTATGGCACTTTTAGTGTAATTAACTGACTTTATGTCATTGATACACTGTTCTAAATAAAGTTCATACAGATAATAATACAACTTGAGAACGAACTCAAGCACCATCACATCTTCAGACAGATCAATCGGATAACAATCATTTTACACACTGATCATGAAACAGTCATGAAGTGAACACGGGCCTGTGAGAGTCCGAAGCTTTGTTCAAACAGGCAGAGAACACACGTGAGCCAGTGCTCCACCACTGCATTCCACAAAAACATGGCTGACATCAGACCACACATCCATGACAGTGACATGTGAGAACTCCACCATCGCCATCCAAGCCCCAGGGTCCCAATCCCATCATGCACCACATCAAAATCCACTGACCTTTTTTTTTGGAAACTGTTATAAGTCTAGTCTGGTCTTGTCCTTGTGGTTGAGTGAGGTGATATACGCTGATGGTCACAAGGGTCAGTGACGTTCCTCTGTGCTGCTGGTCAGATGCTGCCGGTGCTGCTCTCCTGTGTTTGTGAGAGCAGGTGTCTTTAGGGGCACATCAGTCAATGTGTATGGAGAAAGACAGGCAGGGGTTGGGGGGCGGACAGAGAGCACGAGGCAGCAGGCGACAGGAGAGAGGGGCCGTTTTAAAGGGTTATCCCCTGTCAGCAACTCTAGCCAAAGGGATTTACACCATGTTGTCGTCTCTTTTCAGTCTCAGGCTAAAACGTGGGCTCTTTGTTTCTTTAGTGTTTCATTGTTTCTCTCTGTCACAGCATAACCTCTGGATTGTAGGGTAAATATGGGTCATGTTCCAGGTAACAAGATATTCTAAAGGAGAGTTTGCATAAAGCACGGCAAAGAGCAAAAACAATTTTAAATCAACATAAAATGCTCATTTGAATGCTGATTTTTTTTAAATCTAATCTTATTCTGAATCATCTCATGTTCAAATGTTTGTTCATAATTGAGGAAAAGTTAAATTATTCATAAATGGGTCCCACAATTTGTGAAAAACACCAGATTTAAGTCCTCTTATCAGATTTGACAAAGTTTGACACTTTCTTTATTGCTTTTAAAACGAATAATTGAAAATGTTAACTGGGTCAAAGTGTTTTATTAAATTATTGCACTGACTGCCATCTTTTATTGTGATTCACTTTCTTTAACATTGTGAGATATGAACATTTCCATTGACTTCTCAAGAGAATAATTCATGAAGCTGGTTTAAAAAATAGAACAGGCACATTCAGGGGACTGATATTTTAGTTTGTTAAATTCGGTGCAATTCTAAATAAAAATCTGGATCTAGTGAATTTAAATGTGGTCACTTGAGGGGACAGTTGGGCCTTAGTGAGTCTGAAGTGTGCTCGGCTCACTGTGACGACAGAGAAGAACCAAGATGCCTCGTCCAGCTTCAGATCCAGTGAATAAAACAGACGATATGTTCAGTGGTAACATTTATTTTCGGGAACAGTATGTTAAATGCCTTGCAGCAGGATTCTGTAAATCCTTTTTTCAAACGTAACATACATGTGAGGCATGAAGGTACGGTGGATAGGAAAATGAATATGTGCAATTCTGAAAAGGAGATTGTCTTTTAAACAGCTTCGACCAACATGAACTCTGAAAGTATTCTGCACTTCTGAAGCTGTGAAGGATGAAAAATAGATCTGAATTCAAATTCAAACAAAGCTGTTTGCATCAGAGTCCTCAGTGTACGCAAATTAGAAAAAAATAAATAAATTAACATACACAAACTTGTTTTATTTAGACAATGCACAGGGTATGGCCTCTCTCTGACACTAACATTTTGGCAACATAAAAATGTCAGTTGAACAAAGTGTGAATAAATCTAGTTATTAGTTAACCATTATTAATTACCCTGGCTGTTTAACAAGAGAGGATTTCCTTTCTAACACACAAACACAACCATAATCACAACCCCAGTAACCCGATCACAGGACGTCCTGTCATGATCACTGTATATCCTCGGATATTACAATCTGTAAGGACAAATGCAAATAATGAATTAAACCATTCCAAAAACTGCATCCCAAGAAAAGACCCATGTCTGTATTAGAGTTTCCCCACTCTGGACCTCAAAAAAAAAATAATGCAAAAACTAAAATTAAAACAATAAAAACAAACCTCTTTTTTAAAAGTGTGTCTTGGTGACAAATCCATTAAGGTCAGAATCTGGTGAGTTTTTTATATGAACATGAGGACACGTCATCCAGGGATTCATTGTTTTATACGTGAGATCATGTTTAGTGACGGATGTTCTAATCCAGACACAGAGAAGGTGAAGTGATGGTATCATGAGCTAAAGTGCATTCAGACGGAGCGAACAGTTGAGAGGCAGCGCACTAGTGTCAGTCCTCCTCATCGCTCCAGAAGGCATCTTCTTCATCGAGATCCACACCATGGAAGAGTCTGCGGAGAGAAAGAGAGCACACGCTCAGAGCTTGTTGTTGCATATAAAGTGCCACTGACTGATAGAGAAGAGGAGCCGATCACTCACTGGTTGAAACAGGGTGAATGTGGGTTGTTAAAGTGACTGTATGGGTTGACTCTGCTGAGGACGCCCAGACACAGCCAACAGAAGTATTGTTTGCACGAGGTACAGGTCATCTTGTTACAGCCATCCACTTTCTGCAGAGACGAAACATCAGAGGGAGAAGACGCAGCAAATGAACAGAACAGAAGCTACAGGACAGTAGAGTTAATGCCGTTTGTAAGTCTAAACTGAAGGGCTTATAGAACATTAAACATTCAAACTGACAGCAGTTAACAATGCACCCCCCATGACTATGTTCAAAGGCTGTTCTACTGTGCTGTGACCAGCAGGGGGAGCCCAACCTGGATATTGGTTCCACAGCGTGGACAGGATTTGCAGTTCTCATTGAGCCAGTCTCTGCTAAAAGACTCTTCCACTGCTTTCTGGATCACTCGCTTCCCAAAGCGCTGCTCCAAGAACTTTTTCCCCTCAGACGAGGCTGACAGGTATTCATCTCTGAGATTACGCAGCTCATCTGTGACACATGAACAAAGGCAGGGACAGAGGTGGGTTTAGTGTGAAGGGCCAGGGTGGGTAATGTTGTTCCAATTGATTCTTCCTATATAATAATCTATAATTTAACTATTAAACGATTCCTTTATTGGTCTCTTGGAAAATGTTCACATTACAGCAACTCAGAAGCGTCCCAAACATCCCAACTGTGCTTTTAGTTTTGAGTCAATTGTTTCTGAAATGTATTGTATAAAAAGTTTATTTCTTTTATTACTCAATTGATTTAACCCACAAACCGTTGATCGCAAAATTTATTTTTTAGAGTAACAGAGAAACATGCTAAACAGGATGAAAAATTATAAAGCAAAATGCAGTGGACTAATACAGGTGGGTGAACAGTGAAATAACTGGATATTGTATTTACACTCAGATATTTCTCCATTAAAACAAAGACCCCTGGGTGGAGAAGAAGAATCTATCAGTAAAATTACAGGACACGTTACAAATCTACAAAGTGTTTAAATTGAAGGGCAGTGTCAAATATCAAACTGTCAGCAGTTTATAGCAAAACTGAAATAATAACTTGTTATTCTCAGTAACACTACTACTGTATTTCCAATAACATTACCTGCAGGGATTTTACAGCTGGAGAGGCCGTGATAACCGAGCTTGCACAGTGTACAAAAAGCATACTGGCAGGCAGTGCAAATGCCCATGGTTGTGTCTGGCTCCACCATAACGGCGGTGCCACAGGACTGACGGGGACAGTAGACCACGTCGGCCATGAGGTCCAGAGACGACTGAAGCAGCAAACGGTCATAACGGGCAAACAGCTCATCATCCACCAGGTGCTTCACCTGAAGATTTAAGACGGAGGAAGAGAGACAGAAGAGCGACTGGTAATAAAGAAATGATAGGGCTGGGAAACTTGGAAGTTGCCCTGTGGGAAGTCACCGTGTTGTTTTAATTGTAAAATGGTTTTAGAAGTAAAAACACAGATATACACTCATACTGTGTTAACGTACCGTACCTGTGATGGTGTGGCTAAGGAGGTACATTTTGGCTCAGGGCAATTAAGGCACTGAACGTTGCCGTCCCGTATTTGGATCTGGAAGTACTCGGTCATGCAGGCCTTGCAGTAGACGTGCTGGCACTCCTTAAAGCAGAGGCACATGGAGCCCAGCTTCTCTAGGAAGCAGATCCCACAGCAGAACACCTTGCCGTCAAACACCTTCTGGCGCTGCGCCTCATCAAAGTCCAGGAGCTGAGGTAGGAGGTCAGAATGTGGGTCCCTCAACAGGACAGTCCGCGGGTCAAGTTGAGAAGACTGCGTCAACTGCATTTCAGACTTTTCCTTCTTCACTTCTCTTTTCTTCTCCTCAGTGTTTTCAGAAAGACTCCCAGGCTGCGTCAGAGCTGAGGATAATTGGTAAATGATTAAACCAATTTCAAGAAGCAACTAAATTATAAGTGTGATTATGACATACACATTGTGTGCTTTGGTGAAATAAATATGGTGTGTGCTAACACATACATTCAGCAGAGTGAATAAATGTTAAATGAAATGAGCTAATCAACTTCACAGGACAACAGTGTACTTACCCTCACCTCCATCTCCTCTCGGTATAACTTTAAATGAAGTGAGATTACAAAATCCAACATGATCTATACTACCCTTGTTATCTTTGCTAAAGTTCATGCAACCGTTCATGCAAAAAGAAATATGTAAATACCATACCTGTAGCTGCTGGGTCGGTTTTCCTGCGCTCACTACCTGCCTTACTTCCTCCCCTGAAGACTTCAAGGGGAGACTGGATGCCAAGAAAGGCCACAGCCTCCTCTTTGAGGAACTGGATCCATGTGAAAAGAACCACGCAGCCTTGGTTCTCGTCCCACAGCTCATCCAGACGTCTGCATAGAGAACTCATCTGATGAGGTAAAGCAGAAAAAGAGAGAGAGCTGGTATTGAGACTGATGAAGTTTAAGTGATTCTGTTTTACTGTTGTAACATCTTTATGGTAGAACCATATAGCATAGACAGGAAAACAGGGCAGGTGGTATCATTCTATATTTGAGCTTATTCTTACCTGAACTCTGGTCATCCATTTAGAGCTGAGAGTGAAGATTGGTGATAACGTGGAAGGATAGTCTGCAGGAAGCTCAAAGTTGAGCACCAGAGGAGGCAAGAAGCAGACATTGTAATCTGTTTTCATCTCTCCTGCAACAGATAGAAGACATAAGGAGTGTTTCTAATGAACCGATGTCATAGTAAGATTAGGAGAGAAAACATCCAACCATCTACAGTACAGTGTAAAAGTTAAAGACAGTAAAAAAAAAAAGTAATTGTCTTAATGTAGAAGGGATCTGAGATCAGACACCTCCCACATGGCATTGCATGATGAATATGAATCAAAACATCTGAAGTGCCTTACACTCTTGCACAGTACTGTACTTTGTACAATAAAGAATTATTGCAATTACCTTTAACAACAATTTTAAAATCAGGAGGAAGCTCCAAACAGAGCTGAATCTCTCCCCCCTGAGCCGACTCGGCTCGACGGAACTCGTCCTCATCATAAATACTTGCTAAAGCAAGCAGCTCATCCTCCTGGGCTTCCTTGTCCTCAGACATTTACATTCCTGCAAGAACAAATACACAAGTGAGTGACGTAAATCCATCATTATCAAAGTATAGTTCATTGATGTAGCAACGCTGAAGACATGAGATCAATACAAACACAAAAGCAACCATTGACAATCCTACCTTAACACTTAAATACCCTATTGTGCATTGATATTTTAATTAAACATTTGTTACTTATTATCCTGCTGACTCTTTAAAATGAACAGGAGATAATGTATTTCATGTTCTAAATGTAATGATGGTCAGAAGTAGAAGCCACAAAGCCCTTGGGTGATTTCACCACCCTTCAGATTAAAAAACATCTGAATATAAAGAGTTTAAATCTCTTATGCAGCAGATGTTGGCGACCAAAGCCCAAAAACTGCAGAAAAAGCTGATTATTTCCATGATTAGATAATTTGACAGTGGTTGTTTGGTTGTCCTTAAAGTTGAACTATTTAGTGTTTTTAAAGGTCCACTGTGTAAGATTAAGGTGAAAGGGATCTATTGGTAAACATTTTATGTAGAAAAAGATCCTCATAATGTTTTCACTAGTTAGTTTCATCTAAATTGTATGAATTGTAGTTTTCTTAACCACCAGAGAAGACCCTTTATATTTATATACTTTATATTTACATCGAGGGGACCCTCTCTACGGAGGCCGCCATGTTTTTAACATTAGTCCAGACTGGACAAACTAAACACCTTTTGAGTTTTTATGACAACTGAAGTCTACCACAGGTTCTCTTTCATGTTTGGAAGGAGAGCGTGAGGTGATGGGTGTTCAGCAGCAACATGCAATTTCATCACTAGATATCAGAAAATTCTACACACTGTACCTTTAACCAAAGGGTTGAAACTGACCCTGATTGACAGTTCCATATTGAATCAGATTAACATGTCTTTGTTAACCAGCTACATACTACAAGCTTTTAAGTTAGTTGTTATTAAACCTCTGCTTAAAAAGCCTACACTTGATCCAGAGGTTTTACCTAATTACAGACCCATATCCAACCTGCCCTTCATTTCAAAAATCCTAGAAAAAGCTGTTACTAACGAGGTGTGTGATTACTAAGATAGTAACGGTTTGCAGGGAAAATTCCAGTCAGAATTTAGAATACATCACAGCACAGAAACAGCACTATTGAAAGTCACTAATGACCTTTTTATGGCATCAGATGATTGACTTGTCTCTGTACTCGTCCTGTTAGATCAGAGTGCAGCATTTGACACTAGATCATAATATCTGGTTACAGAAACTAGAGCAACATAAAGGGATCAAAGGAACAGCACTAGACTGGTTTAAATCCTATTTATCAGAAAGATTTCAATTTGTTAACGTCAACAATGACCCCTCCATTCACATGCAAGTTAGTCATGCAGTTCCACAAGGTTCTGTCCTTGGGCCGATGAATCTAATCACTTAGTTCAACTTCAGGAATGTCTCAAGAACATCAAGGCCTGGATGACCCAAAACTTCTTACTTCTAAAAGTAAAACTGAGGTCGTTGTAATTCTCCAAGTCTCCAGTTGGTCCAAAATGCTGCAGCAGGAGTGCTGACAGGAACTAGAAGGAGAGATCATAGTACTCCTGTCTTAGCTTCTCTACATTGGCTCCCTGTAAAATTCAGAATAGAATTCAAGACCCTGCTCCTCAAATGTAAAGCCCTTAACAATCAAGCCCCTTCATACATCAGAGACCTGATAACGCTGTACTATCCAAATAGATCACTTCATTCACAAAACACAGGCTCTCTCGTGGTCCCAAGAGTCTGCAGTCACACTAATAAACTGAAAATTGAGGAACATTGATCACTGCACAATCAATTATCAGAAGTATAAATAACTCAAGTTAATACAGTCTAATTATGAGACACAGAGACTGGACTGTTGTATCAGAGTCTAACAGTCCAGTCTCTGTGTTGACTGATGTTGTTTGTGCTGCTGGTGACTTGCACACATGTGATTTTGTTATCTGACCTACACTGATCGGTTTCATGATGGTGGAGAAGAAGAAAACACAACTGTACACCTCTATGATGGAATGGTTCCACAGCTCCTCGTACGTCAGCCTGAAAAATCACCACAAAGATCAAACCGATTCGACACAAGCTGAGTTTTACATCCGAAATAATTGTAGAACTACTGAACCAGACTGGATTACTTCAACATTTATCTTACAGTGTTTTATAAACTGGAAACTGAGTCGTGACATAACATCAGCCTGTGCATGGCAGTCGATAACGAGCCCCACAGCTAACAAGCTAACTAGCATAAGTTAACTTTATCGACATTAGACAAAGTGGTGCTTTTAACACTTTAACATTAGACTACTCTACATTGTGGGCTGTTGTTGTCAAAGGTGAACTAACACACTTCATACAGGAAGTGAGGCAAGCTGAAGAAGTAGACCTGTAACTTTCGGCAGTAGCCGTTCAAGCTAGTTAGCTAATGTAAACAGCAGCTGCGGCTCCAGAGGGAGCTCGAACCTGCTGCAGCTGCGGCTCCAGAGGGAGCTCGAACCTGCTGCAGCTGTTCCTCTGCGGTGTCACCGCTCTGCAGCTCTCACACGGTACGGCACCGACGACACAGTGGGACGGACGTGTTCTTTACCTTCTCAGAGACACAAGTACCAGCACTGACAGCTGCTGCCTCCGGACGGGATCCTCTGCACACCCCGCAGACTACTGACCATTAGTACGGGAAGTCAAACAGGCCAAAAAGCACGAGGCCTCGTAAACGCGCAAACTACACGTGAGTCACACGCAGACATTCACGATGCGTGAACATGTAGGAAGTCAAATAAACTGAATGCCAACTCCATGTAGGTGGCTGAGCGGAGAATTACACGAAACAACTTTGTATATAATGAAATCAATAAATAATCATTTCTTTTATAAACACACGCTGTCTACGCATAATACTCTCGCACTTTAGGACAAAGTACTTTAACTTAGCCCCGAGTTCAACCAACTTCATGAACTGCTATAATAACTTACTCATATCACTAATATATATGTAATAAAAATATAATCAAGCATCACTCCAGTGGAAGGAGTACACCTTTAAAAGATGTTTTTAAGTGTGATTGCTGATACACATTTGTACTTATAAAATGTTTTTGTGTGTTTACAGTTATTTATTGGATAAGCTTTATCAAATTGAAAATATATTTATAATTAATGGGGTTTTTTTTAAAGAGGGGATGATTGCCAGCCCACTCTGTCTTTTTCCCCCGCTCCACCTGAGACTGAATTATTGGATCAAAAAAACAGTAATGTGTCCTATTTGTATTTGACAAATAAGCAAACTTTTTAAACATTAAATTATATATATAATTTAATGTTTAAAAAGTTTGCTGGGCCAGCAGGACTGGGGAGGCACATATTATATGTTATTATTAAACAGTAGATAATAGTATTAGTATTGGACTACAGAGATTTTGTTTTCTACATATTTTACTTCTGGAGTAAAAAAACACACCCAATGATTTGTCAATCCATCAACCATATCATTTTTCTGAGCTGATCATCTGAGAGAAATTTACATCTAATCTTCCAACATACAACACAATTTCTTTTGTCCAAATTAAGTTTATTTATAAAGGTAAATTGACCATTTCTCACAACATATGATTTTTTTACCTCATTTATTTTTGTTTTTTTGTGATGTGGCAACAACAGCAGTAGAAGGTGATTTGTTAGACCAGCATTCACAGTTGGGTAGAAAAAAGCAATACAAGGCTACCAGAGAACAACCAAAGGACCATTGCTCTTGAATGAGAAAAAGCCAAACGATTATATACTGCATGACAGTAACTTGTAGTACCTACTTTCAACAAACAGTACAAGTAAACACAAAAACTGTCTTTCCTCTTAAACTAAATACATGACATTCCAGCAGTTACAATTATTTGTAGTGAAAAAAATGTAATGTACAATTTGGAACAATCCACATTCATTGAGAAGTGCCACTCTACCTATACTGAATTTTAGACATGCCATTATTTTATTTTACAATTTCAAGAATCCTGTGTTTATTACTAGTTTTCCAGACCTAATGAACATTCAGTGCTTACATGGCCTCAGAAGCTGCTGAATAAAACAATCTTTAACAAATAAACACAGAAAAGCAGTTTTCATCCCACACTCACAACTTTTGTCATAAAGTAATCCCATTTAATATTATGCAATATTTTTGTGTTCTAAGAAAATGAGAAACGACATGTTGAGGAGGCGAATGAACTGTATTGATTAGGGATGCTGCTTTCTGTCTCCAGGAGAGAGATGCTACTGTCACCAATAACAATCTCAGAAGAACGACAGAACCGGAGGAGAGAAGCAGGACAGACGGAGGTGAAGCTCAGGTAGTAGCCGCAACACTTAGTCAATGTCCATTTCAGGGAGCTTGTTCTCTGCTGTTTCCTGTTCTGTCCCTGCAGGTGTGGCTTTGTCTTGATTGGATGGCTGACTCTCTGTTTGCTCCTGCCCGTTGACTGGTCCATTCTCCGTCTTCTCCTCTTTAGGAGGCTCCACCCTGGGCTTGGGTTTGGACACCACAGGGTTGCAGGATGAATAAAGCTCCTGGAAAAAAGAAAAGAAAACATTTGTTAGAAGAAGGGCAAATAAGTAACTATCTTCTGAGACCAGTTTAGAGTTTTAAATTCATTTCTATAACAAACTGGCTAGTACAAAATTGTATCAGGGCTTTGAAGAAGCGAGGAGAGCAACAGGTGCTGTTTATTGTGAATGAGACCGACAGCCAGGTTATAGCCACTCACAATCATTTTGATTGTCAGTCTGCTCCCAAATCCTGTGTCTTACAAATTTATTTGAAAAAGAATGAGATGTGGAATCAAATTGCTGATGATGTCAGAGGATGTAAATTGCACGCTTAACTCAATACATCTCTGTGTACTGCAATCAATTTTGTATCTGTGTGTGTGAATGCACTGTTAAGATATTTAATAACTTTGTGTGGGGGTGGCAGTTGTTCTATCATTGGTTAGATAGTGTCAAATAACTCTAAACATTTAAGGCTGGCTTCATAAGGCTAAGTAAAAAACCATGTTGATACATGACTTTTGGCGTGTTGTGTGTATGTGAGCCTTGAACGCTCTCTCTGTACCTTAGTCTTGGCCTTGATCTCCTGAACTTTTACCACTGGGTCCAGGGTGAGGTCCTGACTGTTCTGCTGGTTCATCTTGCTGTTCATCCAGACCATGGCGTCGTTCACCTGCTTGTCCACCCGAGTCACCTCCAGCTCATCCAGGTGCTCGTACTGCTCATCCTGTCAGGAGATGCGGGGGTTATTTATGAAACCTGTTTAGCGATTCCTCATATTGGTTAGTGAGGACAATATAAATGAAACTGATGATCCAATATCAAACCAACAAAATATAAGCTAGTATCGAGTCAAATGAACACGTCAACAAACCTGTGTCTCTGTGCCACATTACCTTTGCCTTGTAAGCTTCAATGATCTTCATGTACAATTGGATTTGTCTGCCAAAATCATCAAATGCTTTTGGCCTCTCCTCAGCTTCCCTGAATCTCTCTTGGATCGGCTGACCAAGTTTCTATAGAGAGGAACATCACATTTAGTCAAGGTTTCGTGAAATTCTTTCAGTTAATGACAACATTAACCAATTATTACTTAAGCTGTTTACTGTTTTTAGGTGTTTTTATTTGAAATATTTGTATTATTTGGGAATTATCAAAGAATAAAGTGTGAGAACAATTTCATAGATAAAAACTGTCCAGGTCAAGTTACCTTCAGTTCAGCCAGTTTGTCGATGTAAACTTGCTTCTGTTGGTCCTCTCCGTCTTCATACAGCCAGATCTCTGTGTCCTCCAGTTTTAATGAAAACGTATCACGATCCTACGAGTGGAACAAAACAGATTAAATTCACATTTCACAAATATCAACAGTTTAAAGTACAAATCATAAAATGCCGTCGCCATCTTGAGGCAGTGGAGAGCAACGGCGAGATGGACCAACAAAACCCTGATCTGAAGTTAAAGTGATACTTCACTGTTATTTTAAGGTGAGGGTGTTTTAACATAAGAAAAGAAAATAATAAGCACCTACAGAGGTGGGTGTACGGTGTGTTAACACAGATGAGTGAACAGATGACTGCTCGTGTGCAAACTGAAAGAGTTCAGATCTGTTTCCTCTGCATTGAGGCGTTCTCTATTTCTTCCTGATAAATCTGCCAATATAGTAGGAATCCAACAAGGGGCAAGCAGATAGTTTATAAATGGGATTGGAGATGGCCCGCTGGATTACTGCATGTTATAACCATGCACTGAGCACAGTGACCTTTTTTCTTCTCAATCTAATACTCACAGCTTCATTCACAAACTTCTCCAGGACGCCGTGCAGTTTGTCTCTCATCTCATACACGTACTCCTCTACGTTGTTCTTTGCGTCGTTCCTCTCCTTCTCCAGCTTATCCTGCATGATCATCTTACCCTGAAAGAGTCACAGTGAAGGTGTTAGTCTAGAATGAAATTTTCTTATATTACATAATGTGCT